GAACTTTTTGCCCGGCTGTAGCTCGGCCGTGCGAAACCGAGCCCGGTAGCGCAAGGACAGTCATGGACGTGTAACGGGCTACGCAAACGGTTTATTTTTGACCACTAATTGCTTGTTACAGCTAAGCCACTTGGGCAACCGTATCAGATTTCAACCTACTTTCTGCCACCGCCCGCTCCCGTTGGAGTGTTGGCCCGAGGTCGTGCATGCGCTGTCCTTGATGTGTCTCCTTATCCTCACTTTCCAGTGCGATTGCATCTGAATTCATTATCTTTAACCACAGATGAACATCGAACGAGCACATGGAGTTCCAGACGCCGATCCTCGGAGAATCCACGTGTGACGGAAAAGATGGATAATCTCTTTGGCGCGGTTCCAGCCTGGTGGTTGTTTCAGGCTGATTGTACAAAAAGCCTACAGCATTTATTCTGCCAGGGCATTACACACAACATCTTATTTCGTTTCTCTATCTGTGGCAACGATCCTATTACTGCTTTCCAATGTACGTGACTGCGCATAGCGGATCATGCCTAGAAAATATTGTGGGTTTGAAGTCGGAAATTAGCCTGTTAGTGATGGGGTTAGTTAAACAAAGTTAGGCTCTGATCACAGAAATATACAGGCTCATTGTGCATACAGAACATCCACAGAAATACACACCTTGAGTTCAATTACTTGAGCGGATGTTCAGCTCCTAAGGGCGGTGGCAGGTCTAGGCCCAGCTGGCTAGGATTCTGAAAAACAGCCGAATGGTAGTATTCACTCAAATAGGGCTCCAGTGGCTGCAGCCCACCAAGGTAAAAAATTTCAATCAAAAAACAAGGTAAACCAGTGTGTTTTCTTGATTAAAGGCAAACTCAAGTCCTAAGGTATGCATTAAACTTCAGTCAGGTATATGTGGCCTTATAGTATTCTTAGGTATTACACATGAATCAGAAACTCTGTACATGAATCAGAAATACAGGTGTGGAGGGCATGTGACGGCCCAGTAGAGGATGCAATACCAATATGGTAAACAAAGATTGGTGGCTTGAGTCTCTCTTCCCAAACCTATTTCCTTCCCTCTATCAGTAAGTTTGGTGCACAGAATACAAATTTAGGTCATGGCATTATCGCTTCCTCTTCGTAGAGGAGGATGTTCATTTGAGCTGCTGCTTTCGAGTTCCACCTGAAGCTACAAAGCCCTGCAGTCTTCAGCCGTTTCATGTTCACCCCCCAATGTTTTAAGTCATTTCTCTCTCCAGTGCCAGTGTTGGGAGCACAGGGTGAAGATCAGGTGAGCGTTTCTCTATCTGGCAGGAACAGGTCTGCCTGGTAGGATGCTTAGGATGAGGGGGCAGACGTCTTGAGTTGAAAGGTGGAGAATGGCCTGCAAGCCTTTCTGTATCGGAGTGAACTGCCGAGGACACCGGCAGTCTCACTGCTGCTGCGTTGATTGGAACCTGGCGTTTTGTCAGAAGGCGGGGGATTTGGAAGGCTCCGTGTTCAGTGTGCTCTTCTGTTCGGTCCCCTTCTGTGGGGACAGTCAATTTAATTACAGAGGTATGGACTGGATTTTTTGGCAGTTATTGTTACCAGTGATAACGATAAATCATCTCTCTCCTGGCTTAAGCTATCCATTTGTGTCCCGCCTCAGCAATTACATTTTATGCTTGCAAGCGATTGTTAGAATATTCACTTTTGAACACGCTGGTTCTTTTTCTGTGCAGCGCAAAAATAAACCGTTTTGTGGAAACAGAAATGCTCGGTATTGGTAGGCCATTGTGCGCTTGGAGTAACGTGCAGTTGTAAGAAGGATCAGCGTGGAAAACCGTGACCCTGAGTCCTGATCTCAGCCTGATCTTGACTGGCTGGGTGATATTAGGTGAGTTACTTGACCCTTTTATGCTTGCCACTCTGTAAACCATGAGTCACACGTCCCGTGTACAAGGATGTTTATTAAGATTTTGGGAATATCTTTGTGCGAACATTCCCGGTGCCACGTTACATCGGCAATAAGGTTTATACTTTGCATAACTGATCGCCTTAGGAGTCTCAATGTTTTTAACTACTGTATTGATTTCCATTTCTAACAGTTACAGACAAAAATATGTCCTTGGCACTTAACGTTCCAGTTAAATGCTATGTCACACCCACATTTTTCAGTGCAGTAATATTAAAAAAAAACCAAAAAAACAACCTCAAAAGAAAAGCAAGCTGTCCAGCCAACTGACAATTAAATTGACATGTTTTTTTTTTCTGCTGAAAGGCCATATTTTTAGCTGGCCTCTGCCATCTTGAGTGCACGTGAAGAAAAAAAAAAATCTCAGTGTAGTTGCTTGGCTGGGCTTTGAGACTAGTTTGTGTCGGTGATGCAATGACCAAAGTTCAGCCCAGTGGTTTGATGATACAACCAGTGCGAGGGAGGTCAGGTTCAGGTTACGGTTTTGGTCTCCTGCTGTGTTTGGTTTTTACCCCCCACACAGAAAGAGAATGTGTTGAGAAGTATTACAGCTATTCTCTCCTACCCAACTCTCCCCTGCTTCTAGGCTCCTCTCCTTTCTACCTGAACTCTCCTGTGGGATTGGCAGTTTTTCAGCTTCTCGCTGCTTCTTTGTTGTGTATTACAATTGCCCACGAGTTTGTGAAATATCCCTTGCTTATTTTCACTTTCTTCTAGGGGTTGCTTCCCAGATTCTCTTAATTTGGTTTGAGAAGTTAGGATTGCCTGTAACCATCAGGTAAAACAACAGTCTTGAATGGATGAAAATGCCAGCTGCCTGCTTAGAAGGTCAGTTGTTAGCTGCCATTAAGTGTTGCGTTACGATGCTAGGATATTTTGCAAGGTGTAGAACTTGGACAGGCAGTACAGAAACCATCCTCCGTTATCATGTTGCCAACGGCTGCAGATGTGTATTTACATAAGACAAAAAATAAAAATCTGTGTCAAAGAACATCCTTTTTTGCCCTCTTCTTGCCACCGGTTCTGCCAGGGTATACATTATTACTGTTTTTTTATAGCTACCACCAATGAAGAAGATAGATGTGAATGCTAGCCAAACATGATTCAGATGAGAACAAGACTAAAAAGAGAGAAGACAAACAACATGTCTATAATGTTTGCTGGCTCTCCAGTAATGGCTTACGTAAAAGAAAGTTGGCTATCAATTATTCATCAGAGAATTTATATATCCGTAGAAACACGGGAGAGTGCTAGATATAACTGTACTGAAATCAAAAGGGGAATTAGGTTCATATATATGCCAAACTTCAACCAGATCTATGTAATATTAAGACTGCCACCCACCCTTACCACTTCTTTACTGACACACATCCTGTATTCCATTAACCACGTAATTCACCCTTTGCTGCACTCTTCATTTGTTGTAGCCTCTCTGTTAAATGCACTATTTCTATATAAAGCACGTCATTAATGAGTTTTATTGACAGTTTGCTGCTGAACAGCCCAGAGCAGGAGCTGGAGTGACTCAGAGCAGGAAGGGCTGTGCAGCGTGCATCTCCCCGTGCATGAATCTGCAGAGGTAATGAGCCTCATTCGGAGTTTAGCTCCACTGGTTTCCACGGGTGCAAATCAGATCCGTGCCGATATCTCTGATGCCGCCCGGGTTAGACTGGTGGTGGGTACTGAGTTAGTTGTGGCCTATTCCTTCTGAACTCTCTGACTGTCTAGGACCATTCCTGGGGGTGAGACGTCTTACCAGCATGGTTAGAAACTGCCCTCCCTTCGTGCGCTCCCTTCTCAGCATGTAGTTTGCAGGAAGGCATCTCTGGCCAGAGCCGCTTGCGTGGTGTCGCTCGTGGCTACCGCAGCTGCGGCGCTGCGCGGTGCTTTTGCCGGCTGCATGCAGCCATGACGAGAGAGAGAGAGGGAGAAAATCCCCCAATGGTTGTGGAAGGAGTTATCACTTGACATTTCTAAGTTTTTCATGTATCTTTCTAAAGGTAATCTGATATAATCTGGGAAAAATATGACCTTTGTGTCTAAAATTTAAAAATGTATTCAAGAATATTGTGAAGTGTCAATAATCCTGGGAGCTCAGATAGAGGCAGGAAGGTAGAAAAAGTTTTTTTTGATAATTACTGAGATGAAAGAAACCCACAGCTGAATTTGCAAGTGTACAAAAAGCTGTATTATCACTCTTTCTTATTACTGGCCTGACTTTCAAAATCAAGTATCAGTGGGAATGCATATGGATACTACGTTACAAAGAATGTAATTAGAAACAAATGGGAATCATTGATTAAACTGGTTAATCTCATGATGTACAGAAGACCATAATTTGGACCATCACTTTCAGTCTTTTCCCTGACTGCAGAAAAGACCCAGTCAAAGATGTGGCATCTTTACTTGTGATTTCTTCCCTGCATATTTTTATCTCTGATTGTATTAAAATTATTTGATACGTATTTTACATAAGTGCGTTCAAAAGCAGAAAAATGCATAGAAGTCATTTATCATTTTATCGATAGAAGTTACTGCTAATTTACATGCTGACAGTAGCTGTTAGGCAAGTTGAAATCTGTTAAAACCACTTCCCCATAGGTCCTTCGAATTCCGTCGCCGTCACTGGCTGCCAGACCCACAAGGCCCCTCCGGCCTCTGGTTACATCAGTGCCGAACTCCGCTTGGACTTTTTTTTTGCGCTCCCTGTTACTTTTTCAGAGCATCCCGAGGGCCCCATTTGGTCGCTCAGCGGGAGAGCGGAGGGTGGGAGAAAGCTTGCAAGGTCACCTTGGTTTGGGAGCAGCTCCCTCGGGCTTCAGCCCTCCCCATAGCAGCTGGCTTTCAAACGGCAAGAGGAGGTTTTGTTGATACGACCCAGGGGAAAGGCCCGCGTAGCGTCCGAAGGCTCTGCAGAGCCCTCGTTGTCAGGCAGCGATGAGAAAGGCTGCTCCCTTGCAGGGGGAGCCTTAGGTTTCTCTCTCAGTGCAAGTCTGTTCTCCCGTTATCACCGATTCAGTGCCGTATTTACCTTTGCCCGCTTTGAGATAGGTGCGGTACATAAGCACTTTTGTGCTAGGGTAGGGTGTGATCCTGCTCTGCTGGAGTCTGAGAGTTGGAAGTAGGAAGTTTACTCAGCGGGGAGCGAGGTACGGGTCTACCACTGCTTGTGCTACGCTACGTAGTGACCACCAACTTTTTGGCAACCTTGCTAGTCAGGTCTAAAGTAATCTGATTTCTGTGGCCTAAAGAGTTACTGCTGTGCAGCTGAGTCACAGTAACCCGCTTGGTGCTCACTCATAGCCTTCCCTCGCTGCCACAAATGCTTTAGCGTGGACTATCTTTAAGCTAAGCCTTTCTTTTTCACAGTCATGAGTGAGGATGGGTTATGGTCGTCACATGGGTGATAAGCAGTAATGCATGAAGCCATAGTAACTTGGTTGTCTTTGGTTATACACATAGCACATTATTTTAAGAATCTCTCTTCAGCGAGAGAGCTTTTTCATTTCTTAACGATTTGGGATCAAATTAATTGCAGTGGAGATCTATACAGGGTTAATCTATAGAGCTAAATTTAAGAAGGGAAGAGTAAGTAATTTTTAAGGAATAGCCAAGGAACATTTTTCTATTTTAAATAAATAATAGATACAGTTTTTTCACGGAAAGACTTAGTGTTCAGCAGAAAAAGAGGCAAATGGTAAAATTTAGTGGGTAAGGGGTTCAGTGGGACAGGGAAATTTCTTCCAATGTTTTCAGGTGTTTGTAGTGTGTAGGTTAATCAGCAAATCCAGTAAAATCCTTCTTTGTCCCGTAGGTAACTCGAGGCCTCCCGGAGGAGGAAGGAAGTTTTATGCAAGTGTTTGAACAAGGGAGGTGGACTGAGGGAAGGAGAAGAAAAAGGCCAGGACCCACAGGACTGCTATGGCTGCCCACACAACGGTGTTGATCTCTCTTTGAGTTGCGGTTATCAACTAGGATTTGACTACTTGCAAGGCAGAAAAACATCAGTTAGAAAATGCTGGTAATTAGTTAGTAGGGGAAAATGGTGAGGAAGAAGCGAAGGAAGAAAGAGATGCCAGTGTGGATGAAATGTCAGTGGATGAGGTCAGGGGGACGTTCCAAAGAAGCAGCACGCAGAGGCGAGTTGGTATTTGAACCTGCAGGGAATGAGGCAAGGAGGGAACGGGGCAGTTCGGTTCCATGATGTACACAATTGCGGGATGAAAAACTGTTAAAGGGAACATACAAAGGCATTTGGAAAATCAGTGCTATGCGTAGGCTGGGTTTTGAAGTGTGGATTGAAGTGATGATGCAAAAATTTTAGTTTCTTTAAAAATGAAGAAAGTAATTTTAATGGTGTGTTGGAGGACAAAGTGAAAAGTCACAAGTTTGGAAATGACAGAGCTATAAACATGACCTTTGCTGGCTGTGCTCTAGTACTCGGAGTATTTACACAACCACATGCTCTTTTTCAGTTAGAATAATGTACTTGTCAGTACCATAGCGCTTCTGCACTGGGCTGCAGTGGGCATAGGTAAACTTTCAGATGATTGAGGAAAAAAACCCAAATGTTCGCAAGGTATAAAGGAAAATTAGTTCAGATATTTAGTATTTAGATTTTACTTTTGCATTTCACAGCATGGTAGCAAAAGCGTGGCAGATTTTTCTTGGAAAATTAAGATGCATTCCAGCAGAAACTGATGCAGAGACTCAGCTTTTTCCTGAAAAATAGCTTCCGCTATTCCCTGTAGCTAAGTATTTAGAGCTTGCAGGATCAGGGCCTAACAAGCCACACATCCTTCTTACTATTTTTTTTTTTTTTCCTCCAGAAAAACAAAACTCTCCATGTTAAAATGATTGGAAATTGAACTTAGGGGGATCTAGCATGTGATTACTTTTTTTAGACAGGATTTTCTTCATAGCTGAATTGGACTGAGTCTTTTTTTTCTCCCAAACCAGATGGTAAGTGATTCAGTACTTTCAGCAGTAGAAAAATGATTTGTTTTCTTTCCTCAGTGGTTGGTGTGAATGTACTTTTCTTTATCTATTTACATATTATGTAAACACACTTTACCGGCATTTATGTACCTCGTTTACAGTCCTAATCCTGCAGAGAGCCCTGTATAGGTAAGGCCTTGCACATAGAAGGAGTTGATGTTGCTTACGGAGAGCTGTTTGCATGGAACTCATGGCAGGGTTGTAACTGTGTTTGTATTTTTATATGTACACTTAAATTTGTGACACTGTAAGAGAATGCCAGCAGGACCGTAAATCCGCAAAACAGTTGAGTAACTTTGCGCACTTTACTTTTTTTCACCTAACAAAGTCTCTGGGGATGCCCTTGATCTCTTCTGCTGTCTTCCTGTGGTAGGCTGTTGTCCTTGTGACTTCTGAGTTGCAGCTAAAAGCTTTATCCTTTTTATAGAGCGTTGGGGCGAGTTCTTCCTGGTGTGCAGAGGGCGTGAGGGGCCTCATTCGTGTGACCTTGTGGACTTGTACTGATGCTACCAGGGGGACTTCGGAAGGGATTCCAGTGACAGTGAGAAATATTTGGGAGAGTATTAAAAAAAACCCACCTTCTTTCATGCGTGCATCTGGATTCTCAAGGTTGTCGGCATCTAGGTTTGTGTGTGTATAGACAGTGTTAAAACTAAATGCAGCGTTCTTCATCGTTTTGTGCTGAATAAAACATACATGTAAACCATATACATGCCGTGTCAGCATATGGGTATTTGAGGCAGAACGGAATGATCTGAAGCTGATAGCGTACTACATTATAGGGAAAAAGTATGTTGGAGTGTCCAGCTGTTGATTCCTTATCCAAGGAGGTTCAAGCAAGGTTGCCCAAGCAGCCTTACGGCTGTCCTTTCCAAGCAGTTCAGAGCCATTTTGTAAATTGGATGTGCTTTTACCCTAGCTTTGTCTGGGAATGAAAGCGTTCAATGCATAGAGTCATACTGCTGCTTTACTGAGAAGGTAATACTCTACTTCAGAAATAGTGGCCAGCTTCTCTGTTTACAAATCTGTCTGTACAGCGTTGGAGCGGAATTATCCGATTCTCTTCTTGGTTCTCACCTCATCTACGCACGCTTCAGTTGAGTCACTGGGGCTTCGCGCAAAGGAGCTGGCCCCTTGCCTTGTTTTCCAGGTTTACCAGAGAGTCGAAACCCAGTTCTTAGCATCTCCCACTTGAAAAATGTGACAATCTTCTGCTTCTGAGAATTCTAGTAGGGGAAAAAAAAAAAAGACATGTGAATTAGCATGAGAAATACTGCGCTGTGGCATGTCAAGTTTTTCTCCTCCATTAAAGTATTCAGTGGAAGGGTGGCAGACGAGGGCCCTTAAAGCTAGCTCTGTGGTTTTGTCGTGGGTCAGTAGTCAAGCTGGGGCGACTGGCTGTGCTCCTATTTGTGTAATAAATTACTTCTCCCTTTATGCAAGGGGAAGGTTTGGGGGAGTTTGCCTCTCGGGCTACGCAGCTGCTGATGTGGTCACGCAAGGTGGCAGAAAAGCGTGTCTGCGGAAGGGCAGGGAATCCTGTGGGATGCTGCTGGATGGGGTGGCCTGGGAATCCCGCCCGAGGTCAGGCTGCCTGCTGGCAGGAACGAGGGTTCTCTGCCTGTTAGGTACCGAGGGCTGTACCTCTGGACATACCTCATCACGGTCGCTAGCAGTCACATTTTTTTATAACTGGGAATTGCTTTATTACATTACCAGAAAGAAATAAAAGCATGAAGCAATGGTTACGAACTTCTAAACGCTGTATCTGTAGAAGAGCAGAACAATAACTCCGAACCCAGCTGTTGTGGGCGTGCAGGGACAGCGGGATTAAGATTTTTGTTCACTCAGACTGTGGCCGTGCATGCCCTTGCCCTCGTTGCTGCCTCCTGACTGGCAGCAGAGCGCTTGCTTCCCAGCGCCGCGGTTCCCGGTGTCCCCTGGCACCTCGCCGCCTGTCCCTCTCCGGCCAGGTGCTGCCCAGGGAATGGCACCGTGCCTGGGAGCGGGGCTGTGGCTGCGGCATGTACAGCAGATGAAGGGAGTCCAGATGAAGGGAGTCCAGGAGAAGTTAAACCAGGTGATCTGTCGGTCAGGGAGAATGAGGGAATTCTGCCCTCAGCACAGAGGGCTCTGAAAAACCAGGGCTGGAGATCTGTTACCTCCTGTGAGCCCCAGGGAGTACAAACTGCGGAGAAAGCTTGGCTCAGAGCTTTGAGGACTAAGTAATTGCTGGAAGCTGTAGGTTACTTAGGACATAAGCATGCATTTATAAGCACTGGGAGTACTGAAGAGAGTTTCTTCTGGTTTCAGTTAATAACAGGGCACGTTGTGTACAGTTTGTTTGCTTGGTTGGTTCATTTTGTTGTGTGTAAATACACTGTAGAAACAATTTTGTCTTCTGTTCAGCATTACTCAGCTGGCGTGCTTCTTGCAAAGCATTAAGGGGAATAAGTAACCTGCTCTGCTCTGTCTGGGAAACAAGGTCCATTTGAAATAAAGGCCCGCGAGGGAGACGGTGGGACTGCAGAGGAATTAGAAGGACAGTGCAGCAGACGGAAACCTCCGTTGGCCATGTGAGTTGCCTCAGTGAAAAAGGAGTTCTGCTCTCCCGCGTGCGGTACGAAACTCAAGCTCCACTGATCTTAGTGGAAATGACGTGGTTTTGCACCGAGGCAAATGAGAGCAGAATCTGGCCAACTGTTAATAGCTTTTTGTATTTGGGGCTGAAATAAAGTGGCTGTGTATGCAAATAATTGTGCAAGCGTGATTCCTAAGTGACTTATAAAAGGCGAATTCAATATTTAATTGTTGGAAATACAAACTGTTTGGCACAGATCTCCTGGTTTGGCTGAGCTGTACTTGACCTGTGACAGAGAGAGCAAAGGTGATTTGAAGTCCTGGGATCCAAGGGGCCAGTCTGTAATGGAACTCAAGGCAGGGGCAGCACATTGGCTGCTTTGTAATTCCAGATGCTTATGCTGTGTACAAACCCAGTTGATTCATTATCTTTTATTTCCATTATCTCATCTCCATCTTTATGTGTGAATCTGAGCTATTTGACTTCAAGGGGGTGGCATGTAACTAGAATTGAAAAAAAAAGGGGGGGTTGATAACAAGAAGTTGGTGGTTTTGATGTAAAGATGTTCTGATGTAACCAAAATGATAAAATTGGTTAAGCCTATGTGCAGAATCTGAAAACTTTGTGGGAAGCCTAGCAAGTTGAAAATAACCTTTCTTCTGCTCTGTGCCCTGCATTTCTTGCAATATTTTGACCCATGCCTCAGAATGGGGATAATTTGGTTCTTAGAATATAAAAGAGATGATTACGAGCAATCACACTGCTGTAGCTTAACACACTGTCGCTCCTCAGCTGTGCTTCAGGACCCAGCTGAACTTCAGGAGCTCTGCTCTGGCGCCCAGTGGTGGAATGGTACCTGTTGGCTTAAGCCATCTTCCTGTTGTTAAGTCCTTAAACCGTGATAATCTCGCCACAAGTTATCAGCCGTCCTGAGGCCTGGAACTGTGGTCATTCCATTCAAACTCCTGAAAGCAGAGAATGTTTTTCCTGAGGCCAAGATTTAAAAATGCTTTTACTTTTCAAAGAGCCTCCAGAATTTGACAAAGTAAATTTTACGTATGCAAGCTCTTTTTTCTTTTCCCCCCTTCTATTATGTAAAGGTGACAGTACAAGTGTGGATGGTGTGGAGAGACATCGGATTTTGTTGGGATAGAAGTGTGAGCCCAGAGCCGATGGGGTACATCTGAAAATACTTCCTGGCAAAAACTGTGCCGGCTGAGAATCAGCAGCTCGCATCCAGTTGACATCACTGGAAGATGCACACACAAAGTGAAAGTACTATGTGGCCTTTAAGCTTCTGTTCCTGTGGTACATGAGGTTTTATACTACACAGAAGAACCGAACCATTCACTTTTCTGGGTAATTGAGATAAAACGGGTATCTGTGATCTCTTCCAGTCTGCTCTGTCTGGGGTATGCCTCCATGACTTTAACCAAGCGGTGCGTATGCGCAGCAAGGAGGCTCTTTGGGTGGAAACACCATAGTGCAGGACTCAGTAAGTGACGATACCTGATAATTTTTAGAGGTGAGGACAACAGTTGCTGCTCGTCTAGATCATAGAAATAACTTGAGGGAATATGTTCACCAAAGTGAAACGTTCTCTAAAATGCTTCCTAACAGGTTACTTCTCGTTTACTCCAAGAGCAGTATCTTTTTTTCTAAGCCAAATGGAAAATTAGATTTTCTTCTTATTTAAGTATATGAAGAGTAACTGTGAAAATTGGTTGGTGACCAGTGGAAAATCAGGCCCGGTGATTTTTTTTGTGTGTTTGGCCAAAGGAAAGGGCATTTCCATTTTCTGTTGCTGATTGCATTCCCCTATGGTCTTGTCTAATACACAGAAACACCAAAACCATATCAAGAACATTGTCTCTCTTGTGCCTTGTTGTTCCCCGTTCGTGCGTGCCTCCTCCCTGTGACTGTCCTTTCGGATGTAGCTCTCTGGGACAGGAGCTCTCTGTCGCTGCGCCCCAGCCTGCGGGCGCTGCTGGAGCTGGGAGAGCAGCTTTGCTTGCCCGCTGCTGCTGGGGGTGACTGAGGGCTGGGTTAGAAGGCTGGCGGGTGGCTGCCGTGCTTTTTGAGGTGAACCCCATGAAGCAGATGGATTGCATGAGGAGCCTTGTGTTGCTCTGGCTGGTGCCAAGCGTGGCTGGATACATCAGAAATCCCAGAGCTGCTCAGCTCTAAGCCCTGTCTGTGAATCTACAGCACCAGCCTCCATTAAAAGGCCAGTTCCTGGGGGTTTAGGAGAGATAGCTGGATAAATACTTACAACTTGTTTTCATTTTGCATGGCACAGGATTTGTTCTCCCTTGCAGGTGACTTCTCCAGTGCTGCTCGGATGTGCCTGCTGCTCTGTGATGGCTCCTGAAGCCTGCTCCGAAAGCCTGGGTTTGACGGCAGCCTCTGGCATGCTGTGGGCCAGCAGATCTGCGTAGCAGCAGGCCCACTGGTTTTCCTGCAGGGACTTAAAGGAGCTTTGGAGAAATGGAGTGATTCAAAAATTCGCCACTCTCTTCTCTGGCAGTTCCCTGGATTTGAGGTGTCCTTCATCTCTGGCAAAGCTGGGCAGCATTCTGGGGAGGAGCGCAGCACTGGCTTTATTAGCTTTCAAACACTTAGGGCTGCTGATGGTAGGTGCTCTAAGTGTAGGCTTTTGGATGCGAGTTTTGTAGGTGAGGGAGAAGCATCGCTGTCGGATGAGCTGGAGGGGTAGTGCTTTGACCTCGTGGTACACAGGACAGGCTGAGGAGAAGGAATAAGCCTAACAGAGAGAAAACCCTCTTAATCTAGGCAATGCCAGCTTGTCATCGTCACTTTAGTAGTTATGTAGCTGCAAGCCTACTGCTGCCTGCTTTGCAAGGGGCAGGTCATTAATGGCAAGGCACGGCATGGTGCAGCGTGCTTAGGGCTTTGAGGTGCTGACAAGTTGATACCTCCCAGAATAACTGCAGAGAGCATGGTTGTGTCCAGCATGAGGTACAGTTTTAAGAACTGAAAAAAACCTCTTACCCAGCATGTCACCCTTGAAGACAACATGTGGCGTAGCGCTGAAACCTGAATGTCCCTCACTTTCTGCCTCCCCAGCAGCTGCATACATGCATTCAGCTTCTCCTTAGCGTGAGCCGCAAGGTGAGAATTGGTGTAGCACAGGGATCGGAGGAGCTTTGGGGTGCAGCAGTCCTGTGCCTTTTGACCTGAGAAGCGCTGGAGCAGCGGGGTAGTTGTGTTGGGCAGGGCGAAGGGATGGAGCAGGCATACTTTTAAGGCAAGACCAAGAGCAGAGGCAATTTTGTGGGCCAGAGAGAGCGTGGGACCGAGGTAAGGGAATGCAAGAGCACACTCACTATATGGCTGCTAAGCAGGGAGCAAGAAAGGATTTTACTGTTTGTGGCTGGAGGGATGGACAAGGAGTGGTGGATTGGGCGAGAACAACGTGGTTGGGCTGTGGGGTAATTGTAAAATATACCCAGAGCTTGCAATTTATCCCAGACCAGATGGGAAATGTTCTGGTATTCTTCGGTAGTGCTTACAAGCATCCGATAGTCACCGTGCTGGGTGCCCAACTCGGTGCCCAGAGCACTGACCATTTGCCCGCTCTTGCTTGTCATGCACACCTGCAGATTTAATGCTTGTCTTCTGGAGAACGCAGCACTTCCCTGCCCTGCGAAACAATGCTTCTCTTCTGCCATTCTCATGGAGATGTGGTGCAATGATATCACTTCCTAGCGAGGGGCTGGTGAATCACTTTGTTGGTGTTCATGAATCACTTCTTTGCTACCAGTTTCTGCACTGGTCTTAATATAATTTCCAAAAGCAAAAATCATCATTTCAGAGACCTTTTATTTTTTGTTAAAGAGAAAATACTGGAATTATCTTGTTGCATAATGTACTGAACCCAAGCTCCCAGTGCTGCAGAAGAGCTCTCCCAAATCTCTTTGCGTGGCTAAGGGTATTGCCACCGATCTGATCAACACCCTCCCCGGCAGTGGAGAGCTTGCTCGCACCTGGGTGGAGGGAGGGAGTGTACGTCTTTGTCTCACCACTACTCTGGTGGGTAGGCCATAACTTAGTTTAAAGTTTAAAGCTCTGCCGTGGCTCCGATAACCTCTTGCATGGGAGCAGAAGTGCTCTAAGCTGTCATGGCTAGGGGTGCAAAGGCTCTTCTGCTAGTTGAGAGCCTCTGGTGTTTTATTGCCTGCCTAGGAAGTGCAGCTGGTTGTTCACCTCCATCAGCTTTGTACCTCAAGTGGTGTAAAGAGTACAGTAGTAGTAAGCAGGTCGCTCGGAATTTGCTTGTCCCAGGGAAGAACAGACAGCAGGCTGTGTGGTCGTATCGAGGCAATGTCGAAGATCTGTGACATGCATGTTCTTATGCATCGGCACAGGGCTTTGGCCTGGGGGAAAAGGAGTTGAGCATGGTGTGAATACAATCTTGTGAGGGTAAAGGCACTTGTGGTTTGTTCTTGGCAAAGCCTGAGGCTGCTTTAAGTCATCTTCATGACAGGACCAATCTTCTGGTGGCCGATGGGTCAGGGAATTAACTGCAGGGGAAGCATAGGAGCACTGTTGCCCATTACCTTGTTCGACGGGCCAGGTGTCCCTCCACCACGAGGGTCCAACCTGTTTCTCTGACCAAGCACCACACGTGCTCCAGCAAGCCTGCTGCTCCCCTCGGACAGTATTTCCCTGTTGTTTGGTCTTGACTGTTTCGCCTTTCCCTTTCTCTGTCATACGTTGCACATTGCCAGCTGGTATTTGTAACATGTTCAGTAGAATTTTAAAATTAAACTTCTTTGGAGGAGGTCAGCAT